CCAATTTTACATTCTGGTGCATGGTCCTTGGAGCCAGGTCCAACATGTTTTGGGCAAAGCCAAAGGCAAGCGGCGACAATGGGTCCTGCTGGAGCAGGTAGTGTCGCCAAAGTGCTGCACAGCTATGTTGGGCATGGGGAACTGCAGAATGTCCAGAGTAGAACAACAGAAAGGTGACCGCCGTTTCAAGATTTGGGGGGCAGCCACTTGTCTTTGAGTTGCGACCATTACCATGAATGCAATAAACCTCCATGGCCAGCCTCACTGGGCCAAGGCAGCAAGGAGATCCCCTATCAAGACCAGGAAGGTGCACCAGTTCCTTCTCAGCCAGTATATGAAGTCGGCTGGGATGTTGCCTGCAAAGCTTCTCAGATCAATAGCACTGAATGCCTGTCAATGATGTGACATTTTGCAAAGCCTTCCACCCTCAATCAAAGCCCCAGAGGTTTCAACGGGCAGCTCGCCCTCGGGTGAAGCATGGCAAGAGACTGACCGTGATTTTGGGTGAAAAGCATGCAGAAAGTGACAGCTGCTTGACATGAAGAAGGAAGTGCTTTCACCCATACTCCACCTGTTTGGCTGTCATCGTTTTGAGGGTGAACTCTTTTGAAACCTGTAGCAACTTCGAGTTCGAATTCGGGCTCAGGTGAGGGTAGCGCCAGTTCAGATGCTTCAGTGAATGATGTACTTGCCGAACCTGAAGAAAGCCTTGACACTGATGATGAGCTCAAAATGCACATATTGGGATTGCATTCGGCATTTGGCCAGTTGGGGCCTGAGCGGCTTTTGTTAACTTTGTCCAGTGGTTACACTTGCCTCTCTCAGTCACGATTGTTCTTATTTTAGGATCGTGGAGTGCAATTTTTGGAGCTCCTTCAGTGAGCTTCCAACAAGATTCCTACCACCAGGAAACTTGAAAATGTTATGGCACCAAATGTGTCAATCAGACACAGTGTCGTGCTTTGGATGATTGCATTCAGTTGGGACTGAGTCAAGCTGACTTGTTTTCTTTGTTTCCAGAAACTAAACTTTCCCAGCGAAGCCCTTTTCAAGGTACCAAACATTCTGGAGGGCCTACCAAGATAAATGGAAAGGCATATTGAAGTTTTTACCACCTTCGACGCATGGGTCATGCGACCTGTGCTGCGACTTCAAAGAGCAGTTCAAAGCCACAAATGACCTTCAGCAACAATTAGTATTTGTGGGGATCATAGGACAAACTTTAAGGAGTAAATGGTCCATGATATGTTGTCCTACTGGCCCAGGATGCACAGCAACTCTTTGAGATATCAAAGGAGTACAAACTGCACATCGATCAAGTGGGACGGGACAGGTCCCTAGAAGAGTTTATTCAGGCTTGTGGTCTGTTTGTCAGTCATGTTTCCGTTTGTTTGCCCAACCCCTCCCTCCTTTCCATTGCATATGGTTTCAGGCCCAGTCCCCACTCACATCGCCCGGAAACGTGCTCGGAATTTTTTGGGAGCCTCTGCTGCAGTAGTGCATCAGTGAAAAACGCAGGTGCCGAAACAGCAGTGCTTGGTGGCAGAACTTTGCGATGTAAATAACTACTAGCTAGTCACCACAAGTCCTTCAATGGTCCAGGATGGTATGGATCAGGCCAAATGGGCGTTGCCAAGATACAAGCATGTCCGGGCTACAAAATCCACCCAAATGATCCAGCGTCCAAAGTGTAAAGTACATGCCACCTGGCTACATGGAGTTGCACTATATATTTGGGTCGTAGACCCTCGCGTGCCATCTGATGCATCAATGGTGATGGAAGCTGGAGCAAGGTCTATAGAATATGCAGTAGAAGCATGCCGGAAACATGGCCAGCGGATCCCGACGGAACTCATCATTTGGGACACTCTACAGCAGCACTTTAGCACTGTTCCCAAACCTTGGTATTTGTTTGTAACAAACACTTGCATGTGCTTCTGTTAACTCCCAACATGCCCTCATGTCCCTGTCTTGTAATTCAGGCCGATAACTGCGTCAGAGAAAACAAGAACAACACGATCCTGAAGTTCATAGCAGTTCTTCTGGCCAAGCGTCGATTTGCCCTCGGGGCATTGTTGTTCAGTGCCGTGGGGCACACTCATGGCCCGCTTGGTGCTTTGGAGGAATTACTGTTCAATCAAGAAAACGGATTTGTTTCATGCCCCTTCGCATCTCAACAGTACCAAGATCAAGTATTCGGCTTGCTGGCAACGGCAATGCGATATTGCGACATATTGAGTGACGGGCAAGATATGGCCGAGTGTCTCTCCTAACCCAAGTTGTCCCAATGTCAAATGGTTGTATGATCTTCATGCGTGCAATCTAGACTACTGCACACACGCCACCAAGCTCGCTGAGGAAAATCCACTACTTATTGAGCAGGATCGGGATTCGCCAGTGGATTGGGGAACATGCTGAAATCAAAGTGGAGTATATATCTGGCACAAGAAACTGGAAGCATTGGTTCCTTGACTGTATGATGAATCAACATTGGAACGATTTGGTTTGGCAGCTTTTCATTGCATTGTTCCAATTTCCAACTCCATGAAGCTCCAATCCACAGTGACCCATCCTGCCATAGGCCATATCCACCGTCACTCATGGGTCAGGCTTGAGAAGGCTCCAGTGACCTATAGCGGAGGGCTGCGAGATGACGATAGTGGGTGGCATGCTTTCATCATGGCCCGTCGACAAGGCTATGTTTTGGAATGTTTCTGTTTGAACGCACCAACTCATTGGTTCATTTGAATATCAAATTGTGTATTTCTTCAGCTGGCCTGTTGTACCCTGAAGACTTGCCCCGGAACTTGGAAGTGACAAGCACTGGACGCGGTGCAAGACATCCGGACCACCCTGAAGATGTTATTCTGATGATCAAGAAGAATGCATCAGACCAGTATCTTGGACAGGACACTCACTGTTTTGAAAAGAACCAACTGTATCAATCGTGCAACAACCCACAATACCACCCTTTTCTCAGTCCCATCCTTTGGAGGAACCACTTCTATGTTTTCCGCACCGATACCTGGCTTTGTTGGACGAGATCCCGCAAACCCCCCGAGCTTTGAGACCTGTAAAGCCCGCAAAGCGGAAGGCTTACTTGACTTTAGCCGGTCTCATTTTGCAAAAGGTGCCAACAGAATCCACTGCAAGGTCAGTCCGGTTTCTCGTTGGCTTGATCAACGATATGACCCCTCAACCAGTGCCTCGATTGCCCTGGATCCAAGAAGAGGTCCATGCTGATGATGTGGTTGTGGGTCTGCCTCCCGCCATTGGGCGGCTTTGGCCGGGAATGAAGTTCATTGCTCGCTTGAGAGCCTAGGGTGCGAAAACAATGTTCAGGCATGTTTTGGGGGTCTGAACTTATGTCAGGTTGGTGCACCTTGCTGTTGGCCTAGCATTTTTTTTGCCACAGCTGTTTGGCTTAGTTTTTCCACAACCGGACTGGGGCTGAGCTTTATCAAGGCAAGCATGGACATATCTTAATTGTCATGACAGTATATGACATGCATTTCTTCCCAAAACAGGGCTTCCCCTTCAAAAAGCTGCGGCTCCTCGCAAGAACATGGCTCAGGCCCAGGGCCCCCCTCCACTTTTTTGGTTCTCATCCAGCCTTGTGTGACAGGTTGATGACAATCTCCAGGAGCAATTCTCATCTGGGCCTGATACCAGCAGCAAGGAGCAGGGAAACTTTGAAGCTGTCTGACAACACACAAAAGGCCCCAGCTTTGGTATCTGCACATGACTCTCCCCCCCCACCAGGACATTGGCCTCAACGAGTTCATCTACGACTCGGATGCTTTTGAAGACTCTCAAGTCCACGGCTAAGTTGATCTGCATGGCATGGGTCTGTTATGTGCACTTTGCAGTAGTCTTTTGCGTGAGCTTGCTGTGGAACAGGTAACTGAAGATGTCCTACGACTTCGAAAGGCCCTCCTATAATCATTGTTCAGTTTCTCTGGTCCAAAGCCTGTGCTGTTCATTCTTCCGGAAGGTAGTCCAACAATTGTGGGAAGAAAAGCCCTGGCGGAGGGAACAGGCTCGGTAGACTATCCACAGACCGACCAGCAAACACAACAAACGCATGAATCGTGCTTGCCTGCGCAGGCTTCAAAGAGGAGAAGGCTTTTGTCCCGGGAGCCTGATCTTGGTGAAGAAGTTCAATAGCTAGCTAATTAACAGTTTTTTGTCAACGATGCTGGTTTGCTTTCAAACTGGCCCTTTGCAAGTCAGTCTTGAAATTCAAGATTTCTAGGATGGCGCGTAGAAAAAGACATCCTCTGTGTTCCCGCTATGAGCAACATGTCCTGTTCATTATTGCCTCATGCCAGTCATGTCAAAGGGACAATGTGCAGCTTTTTTGTCCTTAAAGTGTTTGTGGGGCGACCTTGAACATGGTTGCCAAGTGTTCCATTCGCGTTCGGGACGCTGTCTCCATGATAGCATCGAACAAGCCTCCGAGCCTGGACGTTGGACAAAGAAAGGTCAGGGGCCTCAGGGCAGCGTAGGTTCAAGAATTGGGCATGCATGAATTAAATTGCAAGAAGTTAAACGCAACCTTTTGGATTCTGCCACTTTCAAATTCTGAGGTCGAGAAAAGTGAAGAAGTCGATCCTGAAGGAGAACAAGCTAGAGACCAAGCAAAGCACAATGTTTCTGGGTGTTCTTCAACTTCTAGCATGTGAGGCGCTACTTCCCCAAGACCAGTGTGCCTGCAGCCTCGTCAGACAGCCCCATCCATTTCACTTCAATTGATGAAACCTTTGGATGGCCTGATGTTTTCTTGAAACGTATTGCGCAAGTGTATGGTTCCGAGTGGGTTTGCAAGCAGCTAGCGACCTGGAAATGGTCTATGTCAACAGCATTCTCTGGAGTTGGGTGCGCCGAAAGCGCCAGGTACTTAACTTGGCATGTCCTTGACAAGAGGATGGTACGTAGAGATTCGTGACATGGCCTCCACTGAGGCCGCTATTTCTTTGTCAAAGGCCGCACAGCGCTTCATGAAGAAACACAGTCAATGCAAGAGTACCCGGGATGAGCATCGCATTGAGCACGTAACGTTGGGGTTCCACTGCGAGATTGACAAACAATGCCAATCGGTGCTGCGAAGGACCTACCCTGGGCAGTGCCTTTTTGATGATATCACCAAAATGGACATGGCGAGCAAGGTTGGTTTGTGCTCTTGTCATGGCAAACTCTGCCAACTGCAGCCCAAACTGAATGACACTGGTCGTTTCTTAGTTTGACTTAGTCATGCAGCAGTTTGTTGATGAACCCTTTCTTGGAGTCTGAGATGGAACCATGCTCTGAGCACCCTGGCCTTCAAGGTTTCCACATCAACGTGGCAGGCCCAGACCTCGGCTCAAGAAGTTTGTACAGGAACTTACGGTAACAAATGTCTTGTGCACTCACTGCTGCCAGGCCCTGTCTGTGTGGACTACTCTTCCATGGGCCTCCGAGCCAAGGAGAGGGGGCCGTCCGCTGCTGTGCACAAAGCATACTATTCTAACATGGACTGCAGTTCATGCCTCATTTTGGTGATTGAGAACGTGCCAGAGTATGAAGAGCGGGTGGTTCGTGCATCCCTATCGAAACACTGGACGTTGGTGTCGGTTCGGATAGATCCCAGAATCTTGGGATTGGCAGCAGCCCGTGCCCGTGTCTTTATCATCGCTTACAGGAACGACAAACTTCGTTGGGTCTCCCCGTTTTCTTTGGCTTCCATGGTGGGGTGCTTGAGTAGCCGTGTGGTCCTAAAGGCCAAGGACTACTTTTGGATGAACCTGCCGCCAGCAGTTCTCAGCGATGCGAATGCTCCTTTTGTTGCATTTGCTCAGCCCTTTAGCTACCCTCAAACCCAAGGTGTATGGTTTGATTGGTCTTGGCTCAACCTTGGAAAGAAATCAAAGGAACTATAAGGGGTGGGCGAAACCGAAATCAACAGCATGCACCACCTGCTCAGTTCATTTTCCAAGGAATCCAACCTGGCTGACTACAATGAAAGCACCCGGTTTACCATCGTTGATTTGAATCAGTATGCCAAGAACGATCGGGGGCGAGGAGAGACTCGAGATGATGCTCTGCCGACGCTTACAACCAACAGCGGCAAGCTCTATAGCAAGGCTGTTTCGAATTCAAGCTTCAGGTTTCATTGAACACATGAAAACACACTTGTGCCAAACAATGACTACTTCTGGTATAGCTCGAACCCTCTCTTCGCTAGGTTCACCGACGATTCCTTGACGGAGTTGAAATGATGACGAGCCACTGTCTTCCTATGACGGATCAGCACAGCAAGAAAGCAAGGGCTCCAAAGCTCATTTTCACAGGGGTGCCAACCACCCATGTTGCAAAGATGGCTGGCAATGCAATGAACGTGCCCAGCATTGGATGTGTTCTTTTGGCTTGTGCTCTGTCTTTGAAGCCGAAGGCAGCAAAGGCATGACTGGAAATAATTCAACGTGATTGGAAACAATTAAACGCATTTTGTTGCAAATGATTCCGGCAGGAAAACCTTGACCTGCGAGCTAGATATTAGATCCTTCTGTGCCAAAACAATATATTTGCTTAAAAGACTGTGTGTGCTTCATCGTTTGGTCTGCGTAAGGCAGTGGAGGTTTGAAGATCAACAACTGTGTGTTGAATCCTTTTTACTGCTAGTTGCCCACCTCTTAGCTCAGGGAATGACGGTTTACAAAGAAACGGTAGTGCACTAGGTATGAATTATAGACAACGCAAAACCATCATGGGCACCCTCCATTCAGAGTCCAGCCTGCACAGTCTCTCTGGCAATGTCGAAGCGGAAGACGCCTGGGATTGCTGGGATTCCCGGGCCAGATGCAAAAGCAGCAAGGACTGACCATCCATGGGTCGACTTTGTGATGAAGGAAATTGAGCCCTTTGCCAAAAAATACGGTTCATGTTCTGCAGAATACTGAATACTAAGTTTACTGTAACAAGAGATGTTCCATTTCAAAGGTCCTTCGATATTGAGAAAGATGAGCACCCTGTGAAATTTGTCTTGGAGAAGCTGTCTGCCAGCCTGATGCCTGCCGTTTACACGTGGCTGGTTGGTCTTCTTAGTCCTGACGTTGTCTTTCCAGAACCCGCCGCCGCACTTGCCCCTGCGCCTTGGTTTCAAGAGCAGCCAATGGCCTTGGTCGGAGTAGGAGTTGGTGGAATCATGTGGAATCTAACATGTCAAACATTGCAAAACCACTTATACGTGTCATTCGTTATGTGATATAAGAACTCATCCCCAAATGGCAGGTCAATCATAAATGACTGGCAACCTAGGAATGTGGTCAATGGACAGTGCATGTTCCTTTTCTGGCCCTTTCATATCGCAAGCCGGTAGAGGGCCTGCCACCTCTCCAAGCATGGATCAACACTGCTCTAGACCTGTTCCATCTTGGCTATGAGACTTGGCGAGAGCCTCTCGAGTGCAGACTGAAGCCCGGACAGGAACCAGGAAAGCCATTGGGCTTTTGCTCCCTGCAGGTCACGAAAGGCTTGGGGCGACTTTCGATCATGTATTTTGGTCTGCTTTGGACCTTCTTCAAGAAGAATGAGCTCACCATGGAGGAGACACAAGACTTCAAGAGGTGCTTGGTTTGAAAGCCAAATGAACCCTCAATTCAATCTGGTGACACTATTTGGTAAGGGATAGTCTGGACAGTCTGGGCTGGTTTGGGATAGTCTGGGGGTGGTTTGGGATAGTGTGGGGAGACAGTCTGGGTCGTCCTTTTGGCTTCCAAAAGCTGGAGGCCCAAAGGGTGAGGGTTTCAGTGAAACCGTCGTCCTTTGGATAGTCTGGGAAGAATTGGGAAACCCCGAGAAAGGTGGTCTGAATAGTCTGGGGATTGTAATTGATAGTCAGGCTGAGCCCAACCATAGCCCAAAACATTCCCAAACTATTCCCAGACTATCTTGGGAGGGGCTGGAAGGGTGAGGGTTTCGCTGAAACCGTCGTCCTTTAAGGAACCATGAAAAAGTCTCAAAAAGGGTGAGCAGTAATGTCTGAAGAGAGCTTAAGGAGGGTTGATGTCATGACCATGTATGGGATAGTCTGAAAATGTCTGAAACAGTCCAAGAGATGTGTGGGGGGGGGAGGGTTTCGTCGAAACCGTCGTCCTTTGGATAGTGTGGGTTCTGAAACCGTCGTCCTTTGGATAGTGTGGGTCCTGAAACCGTCATCCTTTGGATAGTGTGGGTGTGGAAACCGTCGTCCTTTGGATGGTGTGGGTTCTGAACGAACTGGTCAGGTGGATCGGAAGCCTCAACAAGATCACGGTCACCATAATGGATGAGAGGACCAGCACCTTCGGGCACGAATGGCGGAGGCTTCAAGTACATGAGCAGCAAGCAGAACGGCAAAAGAAATCGCTCCTGCAGAAATCCCTGGTCTTTGCAGCTAGGGCAGCTGAATTGGCTATTGAGGAGATGGTCTGATTGAAAAGACAATTGACAACAACCCTGCCAGAAGTTGTTACCAAGTCGATGGGTCTTGAGCCTAAAGTTTAGTTTCTGTAAGTCATAGTTAACTAACTGGGACCCTTCAACACATGACATGCAACACAGGACCCTCACAACTATGCTCTGACTGGCGCTGGCTATCGGAAGGCCTACTTGGACGCCGTGCATGAGTACAATGCATTTGGAGTGGCCGCCACCAATGCTAAATACAAGATTGATGATGGGACAGCTCTGCAGTTGTATGGATTCAAGGAAGCTTTGTCATGACCAAAACAGTTTTCCGATTTCCCACAAGCAGGACCCCCACCATCTTTGCACCCTTGCCTGCACCAACTTGCTTGAGCCAGCCTGGCGCTGAGGTCGGGGTCACAGATGAGGTTTGGGTGATGCTCGAGCGACATTTTCATGTCTACAAGTTTGAGCAATCAGGCCTGTACTTAGCATTGCACAAAAAGACATGGCATGGGATTTGGAAAACAAATACCTACTGAGTCAGTCAAATAATTTTTAAAATTAAACGGTAACGGTATGAGATATTTGTCCCTGGCCCTGCAGCTTTCTCACGCGAGACCCTGTTGGACACTCGATGGCTGCTGGATGCTGCCCCCCGTGCGCCAAACGCATTTTGGCATGATGTTCTTCGCATGACCTCAGAGAAGCAATGCTTGTTCATGAAGAGGGTTCTGGCGTTGCACCAGCTCTCGACAAAGCGTGGTGGCAAAGCAGCGAATGCTAGACTCAGCCAGAGCGACTGGAACGTTGAAGCAGATCGGATGGCAGTGATGTCCTATGTCATTCACGAGATGCGAACAGCAACAGCTGATGACGGTTCAGAATTGTTTCCCCCGGACATCATTGAGAAGTTACTCAAAAGAGCAGTTGAAGGGCCCTTTGAGCCTCGCCCTCTCTGACTCTCTAACCTACCTTATGTGTCCTGCTTTCTCCCTGAGCAGGGACTTCAACGACGAGATCAACGAAGTACTGTCCATCAAAGACCCTGGCTTCAAGGCTAGCTTCCTCCAGGTGTGGTGTGAGAATTTGCCAGCTCCAAAGGAGACCGAGAGGGCCTTTACAGCAGCGGAAGCACAGATCGATCAGTTGAACCAGGATGCACGCAAAGCTGCGTGGGAACGAGACACATTGCTGCTGGCAAAAGATGTGGCATCCCTTGGGCGCTTGTACCAACAGGAAGTGCGTTCAGAGAGGAGCAAGAGGACGCAACGGATATTGCACATTCGGTCGCAAAACTGCATTGGAGCTAGTGTCGTGGACAACTTCATGAAGACCAGCATGAGCTTTCAGCATGGAAAGCCTAATGAGCCCCTAGCCTGGGCTGACAAGGTGGGAGGTTGCCAAAAAGATGTAGTGAGCCCTGCTTGTGTTCCTGATCATGTTTGGTCCACCCCCTCTCCATCATGTGTGCCATCATGTAAAACATGTTCCACCACTATCCATCCCTCCGTCCCCTATATGATCACTATTTGGATCATTGAGCCCCCTGTGCAGTTTGCAGATGATACTACAAAGGACAGTGGTGCTTTGCTCCTTTGGGCAGACCTTACGAAGATGGGCAGGGTGTCGAACAACGACTTGAACACAGTGGTTGATGTGATCTGCAACACTTTGCAAAAAAACCACAAGTTTCTGCTGCTTTCATCATGGCGCCACACTTGGTGTCAGAGAAGGTGACGAACGGACTGAGAGGAGAGCGCCGGTTCCTTGTCTGAAGGCAAGTTTCAATTAATCACTCTCCCCAAAGCACTCACCCAAAAAAACTTTCCCAAGAACTGCTGGTGCTACAAAATGTTCCAACAAAAGATTAATAATAGTTCCGATGATCTTGAATATGCACCAGCCGCATGTGAGCCCAGGAGGATAGAGGATAAATGCGACATGAAAGGCCTCACCACCACGATGGTGACGATCACCATGCAGCCACCGCCTGCCAGCAAGCGGGTTCCCATGGTATTCTATGGGTGGCTTTGCTTCGAAGAGCACACATCCAACGACAACATCTTTATGAACTGCAGCCTCATGGCCGACAGGTCCTATAGCCTTGAAATTGTTATTTTAAGATGTTCCAAACAAACAAAGGAGGTTTTAACGGTCACCTTGCTTATTGTTTTTTCATGATTACTGGTGCACCCAACAGGTGTGCTAGATCCACCTTGCCCTGGGCACCAGAGTCGAACTATATCGTGCCAGTCGCAGAAAAGGACTCACTTCCAACTGCAGCTGAAGGATCTCGGCGCTCCGTTTCAATTCATTGAAAGGTTGGACTTGGGCAAGTGTAGGGGGCATGATGGGCAGGGTATTGCGTGGAGTGTGAATAGTCTAAGTTTAGTTTCAGAATAAATTTCAAAACTCATGCCCACTGAGGTCTTTCAGTGACGTGCAGGAAAGTGCACAGCTTCTGTCTGGAAAGGAATTTCCAACAGCGATCCTCAAGGCACTTCTCGCAAAGGCAAAGCTTCCATCGGGCTTGCTTGGGATTGTCAATACTACTCCATACGACTGCTGCTTGGAAAGTGTGGCATTGGAGTGGAACAGCCATACACCCGCCCAGCGCATGAGAACCCTATCCATGGCTGACAGCAAGAGCAGTACAACTGTGGACTATTGCCAAAAAGTCATGGCCATGAGACTGATGGAGGACTGGTGTTACCATGGAGGGGTCTCAACATCTCAAACCTTGGCCTTCCAATCCAAGCAGTGTTGTTTAGGTATTGTTCATTGCCCCATGTAATTTTATAGGAACAGCATTGACCAAGAAACTGACACCATGATTTGATCAATGGTGTCACTAACTCTTCAGGACTGGAAGGTTGGCAAGCATTTGATGGGCCATGTGCGGAAATACGAGAAAGATCCGGTGATCAAGAGTGAGCCTTTGGACTTGAATGAGTTCAAGTTCCAACATGTCAAGGTGGATGTGATCCCGAACAAAACAGGATGGGGCAGATTCAAAATTTCTTTGCCACAATCCTTTCGCCAGCTTTACGCACGAGACATCGTATTTGGAAGTGATTGGGCATCAATCCTGAATGATTTTGACAAGCAGCCTCTTGATTTAAAGACCATATATAGACATAACATTATGGTTTCACACCATCCATGTTCCTCCCTACTGGTCCTGGTCTCATCCCGGTCATGGCTTCAGGTTCGGCCTTCAATCGCCGCCTCCGATTGCTGCGACGCCAGCACCTGTGGAGGAACCAAAGAAACCAACACTGGTTCCATGGGAGGGTGAGCCACAGAATGTCGACCAACTTCTAAATGACTATGTCGTTGAGGCAAAGGTCTCTGGAAGAGATGCAGGAACCACGCTCTATGTTGTCCACAGCAAGAGACGTAATGGGCAATTGGACCAGGTGGCAAGCAACCAAGAATTCAAACTGTTTCTGGTCCCTTGTCTAAATTTCAAAACGCCTAACAAACCAGTGTGTTTGCCCCACTCACCAATACCATGTCTCTAACAGCAACCATGGGTCTTGCAATTGGCTTGAGGCTGCACACATGGATGTCACCCTCCAGGACAAAGACTACATCATTGCACATGGGGGATCCAAGTGGATCAAGCCAGAGAAGGTGTCTTCCATGAAACGCAAGGGGGAAACAGGCCGGTTGAAATGTTTAGCTCAGTCCGTTTGCTTTCATGATCTTTCTTGGCATTGTGCACTGATGTCACCAAGTCTCCAGCTTCTGGATTGTTTCTCAACCCTGTCTTTTTTCCAGCTGACTGGGATCAAGCACTTGACGTTTCACTAGGTCTTGAGTAACAGCTAGACTCAGTTTCCCGATGCCAAGCAGCTTGACGGACCTACTTGCCCAGCATGGTTTTGACCAGGACCTATTGCAATGCCAATTCAAGCCTGTCCCAAGTCCCAACACTGATTGTTTTTTCACTCCCCATTGAGGACTTTGGTGGGCTAGCACAGTGTGACGCAGGGGCTACCACGACCCCACCTTGCAGACAGGCCAGAGGGTTGGGTTTCTCAACCAGTGAGTAACCCCCTGCGCTCACTCAGGCCATGACGTCCCCGGCTTCATCTGCTGAAAGGCCAACTTTGGTTCCTGCAAACACCACCAAGCAGGCCGGCGTCCGGCCGAGTTCTGAACCACATCTTGTCATTTGTACAGCTTCTCGACTCTACATTATGGACAGTGGTGACAATACAGTAAATCTAATATCAAGACAATTGATTGTTTCATTTGAGAATCTGAAGCAAACATGTTCGTTCATATTTTCTTGTGGCTGCAGGCTGATAGAAAGACATTGGTTGAGCCCAAGGCTCTAAAACTGGAGGACAATCCAAAGCCCACGCACGAGGCAGAAGTGACTCCTGAAGAGCCAAGTCCAAAAGAAACAAAGAAGACACCCGATCAAAGTTCGAAAGACCAGCCGAGGCTAAGTCTTCCTTTGACATCAGCGGAATCCAATGAGAAGACCAACCCGCAGCTGAGTGTCCAGGAGATCCAGAAACTACAAGACTCAGTGAAGGCTGCCGCAAAGCCTGCAAAGAAAACGAAAAATATCGATGACACGCAGACTGGCAAGCATGAGGAACAAACGAACCATGAAGCTGAAGAAGCCATGGAGGGTGAAGAAGCCAAGAGAAAGAACAAAGTCGAAAAGAACACATCCCGAAAAGGTTCCAATCCCAAGACAGCAAAGAAGCCAAAGGAAGAGGTGGAGGACAACGAGTTGGATTCAGAAGAGCCTGACAGTGAGAGTGAGGAAGACAAGAACGCCAAAGGAGCAAAGCCTGAAAGGGTCAGCAGAAATGCTAGGAAAGGGAGGTCGAAGGAAAAGGATGAAGCTCCCAAAGATCGAAGGTCGTTGATCAAGGACATGTCGAACGACATGAAGAAAGGGCGTGACAAGAAAGAAGACGACAAGAAAGACAAGAAGCGCAAGAAGGGCGATGAGGAAACGAATGAGAAGAATGATAAGTTGAAGAAACGACATGATGAACCCAGCACAGCTAGGACAGGAGATGAGAAGAAGGAGGAAGATGAAAGGTCAAAGAAGGACAAGAAAAGCAAGACGAAAGCACCAACCAAGGAGAAGGGGACGAAGAGTGAAGAAACCAAGCCGGCACCAAAGAAGCATGCAAGTTCAGGAAAGCATGATAAGGAAGAGAAAGAAAAGGATGAGGTGCCACCAGAAAAGGGTTCGTCAAGGGACCTGGAGATGGAGGTGGACATTGAGGGACTGCCGCCCCAACTTCGGGCTAAGATGGAATCCTTGCTTGACGACATCAAGCGACACAGGACAGGATCCCAAGATGCCAAGACAAACCATGATGTGAGCAACGAGTCTGCCGCGGATGCCAAACAGGCAGCACCCATCGATCAGGGTCAAGACAAACAGGATCCTGAAAAGAAGCAACCGAACCAAAGCAAGGAAAATGCCAAGAAGAAACATAAGGCTGAGAGCAATGAGAGCAAGGAAGCGCATGAGCCTGCGAAGACCAACAATGATGAGGGCACAAACAGGATGATGGAGAAAAATGGACAAGGAAGTCGAGGTGAAGTGGTTCAGGAAACATGGCCCAGGAAGAGGGCAATGCAAGCCGTCCTGAGGAAACCACCAGGGCGCCTCGAGGAGGCAATCAGGACAAGAAAAAGCAAAGGGCAGCTGCAAAGCTTGAAGTCAGCGAAGCAAAAGAGGTTGCTCCAAAGTTGTCCGGGGCTGCAAGGGCCATTCGTCGTACCGAAAAAGAACCAAAGGCCAAAGCTTCCAGAGACAAAAAATCAAAGAAAGACAAGAACAATGATGTTGAGGCGAAGAGTGCTGAGAATGCTGCTGACCAGGATGACGACTCCGATGCTTCAACGCTCATTCTCGGTCAGGACTGCATCCAGTTCCAATTCTTGCCAATGCCAAAACACCCAGCTTTCAAATACAGCTTCCAGATTCTGAGACATACTCCTCTAGAGCTTAGAGCTTCAACTCTGAAAGCACACTCCTCTCCACCTTCCCCGAGCTGCCTCAGGAATCGAATGCAAAGAAGAGCACCAAGAAGCGCAAGGCCATGCACCTCAGAGTCAGAGTACTGCATAAGACGGGGCTGCAGTTGGAACTCATCAAAAACCTGATTAAGAGTCAGTCAGTAAACTTGGAAAAGCATTGCAATAAGTATCTACCCTCTCTGCTTAGTGTTGAGAAGTACTCACCCTCACTACTTACTTGCCAGGCTGGCGTTCCTGGACGTGTTGGCCTTCGTGAAAACTACTATGTTCACATCAAGGAGGCCTCAGTCCGCCTGAAGGCGGAAAATCCTAGCCTAAAGCCGAAGGAAATTCTTGCACTTGCTCGCAAAGAGTATTGGACTTAGCGGGCTCTCAGTGCTCACTGTATTTTGGAAACATGAAGCAGACCTTTCATGTCCAAACTGGTGATAGATGATCTGAGCGGACAGCTGAGGTGGAGGGATCATCCGGATCGGGTCAGCTCCATCAAGAACATGAGCAAGAGTGAACTGAGCCGACGGAGGCTGAAGGTCAACAAGTCTGAGGTTGTGGAGGAAGCCCCTCCAGCTGCGGATGGCGCTGAGGAGATGGAGAACTCTGAAGATGATCAGGAGCCCGACCAGGATCCCAGCGAACCTGATGCTTCTGAATCTGAGAGTGGCGAATCCTAGGAGTGCACAGAGCCAGTCATAATTTTAAGGGTTTTGGAGCAGTCAGTGACAATGCCTCGGCCAAAGGGTTAGTGTCTTGTTTAAAACTCTCTGTCTCAAACATTCTCAAACATCGCATCTGGTATTTAGCACTCTCCAAGCTTGGTCTGGGACATGCCCCGAACTGCTGTGGCAACTAGTTCAATTTTGGCCCACTGTGAGCAGTGGGATGTGTACGAGTTTCATCCTTAGACCTGGCGTGGTTTTCACCACGTCAGCCTGGAAGAGTCAGTCGAGATCACATGGGAGCAATAGGAAAAATCAGTGGCCTGACTAGCATGTTGGGCGATGTTTTTGCTAACATTCAATGCGCTGGATGCACACTAAAGCCTGGGTCAGGCGAACTGGACCGTGTGATGCAAGCTGTATGGAACAGCGATCAGGATCCTGTGGTGCTGGAAGTGGTGCAGGGTAAAAGCACCACTGATACGGAGCTTTCTACATGGCAAGAAGTGCTGCATGATTTCGAGGAAGAGGGGCTCGTTGATTTTACCATCAACGGACATGAATGCGACAAGCCACCTGCCGCGGCTGGCGAGGATGGTCCAGGACTTACCAGTTTTGCATCTTGACAACTGCATGACAATGAATGTTCAAACCTACTACTCGTCATCCCTTTTGGCATCCATTTGTTACATGTCCATCCTGCCTCAGGAACGGACAACTTCCTGATCAAGCCCAAGCCTGTTGGAGTCTACTTCCAATGGACGAAGCCAAATGGACTCAATGGCTTGAAATACAGTAGCATTGCCAGTGCTTTCCCTGTCGGCGTTTCTCAACTAATTTAATTCAATCATGACTCATGACTCATTGAATGATGTTATGTTTTTCCTCTCCTCTCCTTGATTGATTTTGGACCTCTTCTGAGGCCCTCGAGAACTCAAGAGTTCTACAGAAAGCATGGAGAATTGCTTATTTCAAAGAAGCGAAGGTGTCTTAATCTTGTGCTGCAAACCAAAACCACAGTGCAATTGAACACTTGTCACAGCTGGTATCTGCTAGCATTTGTCTAGGAGATTATGCCAAGAAACACGACTGCACATAGCCGCGCAACGAGTGA